GTTTTGCCTTGCGCGCGCGGGCGCGCGCAAGTGGCCCGCATACGATGTTTTACATGCATGAGGCTCGCCACATACATCGAAAAATGCCCACCGCGCAATAGCATGTACAAGTGAAGGGGGCGTCGGCCCGAATTGAGTTATTTCACAAGTAGGATGAGCGCGGAATCAAGAAAATGTACCAAACATCGAAGCCAATTGCCCAAGGTGAATCCCGCTGTATGGGGCACATATGGCTTCTCTTTCACACTTTCAAGGCACGATCATAACTCACGCAGGCTTCCTAAACACAAACGAACCAGAAAGCGTTACTCCTTCATTACCGCTCACATGTTGAAGCACCTCCTCAATGCCAAATGCATGGAAGACCGGAACGGTGAGAATATGCAGGAGATCTCACCTACTTGTTCGAACTGTTACTCCTTCGCCATCCTTAACCTCCTTAAGTTCCTCCTCCATAACAGTGAAAGACATGACCGATTGCCAGTGACAGAAATAATTGATTCGAACACGTTGAGGGTCTCATCAGCGTGATCGCGGAACCCCCTCAGAAGGCCGCGCAAGTTGATGAAATCACACGCGCATCTTAATAGTGGCGGTGCTGAGCATTGCCGCGCGGGCGGCAAATCTGACAAAGCCAAAACTTTCAGCGAAAATATGCGATTTGAAACACAGCTGGTGATTTGCATATGTCGTCGAATAATTCGTCTTGCGCGCACGCGAACGCGCAAATGCGGCCTGCATCGTATGTTAGATGCATTCGCATCAAAAACGGCACACATGCCCAACGCGTAAAATTCGCCGACCCCAGAGGCGCGTGAGATAGTCTTCCAGACAGACACAGCGCCAGCACTCTGAAAGTTTCGCACGAGTTCTCCATTACCGCTACCCCCACCGCGCCCAAGCACCTCTACCCCACCAACCTTTCTCCTCCTCCTCGCCTCTTTCTCGCCCCGGCACCCCCACGCCACGAGAGCTCAGTTCCTGGGACCCCCCACCCAACATCCCCCCCCGCCCCCACCATGCCCCGGCACCCCCGCGCCACGAGAGCTCAATTCTTGGGACCCCCACCTAACACTTTCTCGCCCGAAACCGACCAGCACCCCCCCACTCCTGCCCCCACCACGTCCCCACACCCCCACGACACGAGAGCTCAATCCTCGGGACCCCCCACCCAACACTTCCTCGCCCGAAACCGACCGACCCCCCCCTTCCGCCCCCACCACGCCAATGCACCCCAACGCCACGAGAGCTCAGTTCTTGGGAACCTCGACCCAACACTTTCTCGCCCGAAACCGACCGACACCCTCATCCGCCCCAAACTCATCACGCCCCAATACCTCCACGCCACGAGAGTTCAGTTCCTGAGACCCCCCACCCAACATCCCCCCCCCGCCCCAACCAAGCCACAGCACCCCCACGCCAAGAGAGCTCAGTTCTTGGGACCCCCACCTAACACTTTCTCGCCCGAAACCGACCGACACCCCCCCACTCCCGCCCCCGCCACGTCCCGGCACCCCCACGCCACCCCCACGCCACGAGAGCTCTATTCTTGGACCCCCCACCCAACACATTCTCGCCCGAAACCCCGACACACAACCCCCGCCCCCACCACGTCTCGGCCCCCCCACGCCACGAGAGCTCAATTCTTGGGACCCCCCACCCAACACTTTCTCGCCCGAAAACGACCGACACCCCCCCTTCCGCCCCCACCACCCCCAGCACCCCCACGCCACGAGAGCTCTGTTCCCCCTCCACCCAACACCTCGCCGAAAACCGACCGACGCCCCCCCCCCCGCCCACACCGCGCCCCGGCACCCCACGCGACGAGAGATCAGTTCTTGGGGCCCCCCACCCAACAAGTTCTCGCCCGGAACTGGCCGACACCCCCCCCCGCTTCCACCGCCCCGGTAACCCCACGCCACGAGAGCTGTTCTTGAAGCCCCCCACCTCACCACGCCCCGGCCCCCCACGCCACGAGAGCTCAGTTCTTGGGACCCCACACCCAACACTTTCTCGCCCGAAACCGACCAACACCCCCCCCCCTCCCGCCCCTACCGCGTACCGGCACCCCCACGCCACGAGAACCCAATTCTTGGGACCTCCACCCAACAATTTCTCGCCCGAAACCGACCGACACACTTCCCCCTGCCCCCACCACGCCCCGGCACACCCATGCCACGAGAGCTCAGTGGCCCCACTCCCGCCCCCACCACGTCCTGGCACCCCCACGACACGAGAGCTCAATCCACGGGAGCCCCCACCCAACATTTCCTCGCCCGAAACCGACCGGCACCCTCCCTTTCCGCCCCACCACGCCCCGGCACCCGCAAACCACGACAGCTCAGTTCTGCGGACCCCCCCACCCAACACTTCCTCGCCCGAAACCGACCGACACCACCTCCCGCCCCCACCACGTCCCGGTACCCCCACGCCACGAGAGCTCAGTTCTTCGGACCCCCCCACCCAACACTCTCCCCCGAAACCGACCGACCCCCCCCCG